AACAGGTTGACCTTCACGCACAAATTGGCCAGCACTATGAAAAACTTGAGCAAAAGGATTATGCATATGAAGCTCATACTGAATATTTGCTAAAAGAAAAGTGTCTAAAGTTGGAAACACGTTGTGACGGTAGCTCAATTCAGCTTCAAAATTGCCATCATATATATATATTTGTGAGAATTTGGGTGTACAATTCTCTGCAGAAAGCATTGAACCAATTTGATGATAAATTGCACCTTGAACATGATAGGTATATACCCCATTAGCACTATTTGCAAGATGTGGATCAATTGATGCTCCCATCGATATGAATGCAAAAACTGAATTGAACAACCAAATTTGTTTCTCCAGCCATGGGTGAATTTTCTGTAAGCAGCCTTAAAATTGATGGAGGTGCATTACCTAATGGTGCCAAACCAACTTTTCCATTACGGCAGCAATTAGTTGAGGACTCCATTTGCCAACGTACGGCTTGACAGTGTTCACAACAAATTGACATTCGTTGAAGCATATGTCGGCCACTAATCACATTTTTTTTACTAATAATTAATGGATTAAAATTATCAATTATACTCTGGGCAAGATTATGTGTTGTCCTAGTACGTCTCTGAACGGATTGGGTCTGAACAGGTATGATATTAAGTTCAGATTGAGAAGCTCCGTCAAATTGATAATCTATATTGGCCAAATATTAAAATTAGAATATAATCACCTATTTGTTAACTATTTATCAGGCTAAAATATTCTCAAATTTAATAGTATATAACAACAGGAATAAAGAATGCTATGTATAATTAACAATTTTTTAATTCAAATGACTTTAGATATATAAAGTCGAATAAGCTAAATTTAATTATGATATATATATATTATAATCACTAAAACAGCTTAATGAACCTCTGACTTGGTTATTTGATATCTCATTTGTTGATTGTGAAGAATTTGCTAAATCATCATAGTATTTTTTAGCAGCATTAATCTTTCGGATCATTTGTTTTTTTTGATCATCAGGGGTTTCTTCACGATCTGGGGTTCGGTATTATTCATCCTGTCGAATATGAGACGGCGTTTCAGGTCTTGTTCGTTTTTGGGCCATTTTTTATTTTTAAGATTTTGTTTTAATTACTAACGATAAGAGTTCTGTGATCAATTTACACTAAGAGGAATAAATATATAATAGCGAAGAGTCACATGACATAGTTAATGTGACGCGGTGACTATAATATATAAAATTGGTGTGTAATTTTATTTCTGAAATGTATGCTTTTCACCTTGTATATTTTATTATCATGGAAATTTTTACTCGAATTTTTAAATAAACTTTAAATTAGACTTTATGCTTAGACTGGTTGTTTTAAGGCGCTAAGCATTTTTAATTAATATTTGGATTCGTTTCAATCACAACTTCTATAGCTTGAGGTTTCACTAGATAAATAATCTTTACTATCCATTATTACGATATTACGATTATGAATAAGTTATGTAAAATTTTTTTTTTTGCGATCAAGATAAAATACGA